CCAGGTCGTGTTTCTCGTTCTCTGACAGGTCGCATTGTTAGCCCTGCAGCATGGATGCAGGAGGAGGATGTGTAATTCCTCAGTCTCTTCAGGGATATGGCGAGTCTCTTTCTGTCATCGGAGCTATTACATAATGAGTTTGATTTGGATAATTTGTATACAGATCCAAATTTACCTGAGCTTTGGCACAGATGGAGCCCCAAAAGGAAGTGAAGCGGAAGGTCTCATGAGATTTCTATTATTTCCTGTTCCCAAGAGAATAAAATATTATGAAAATAGCCCCCTGGTATCTGTTGGACCTTCAACATACATTCATACTGAATTGCTCATGTCTCTAAAGTAGTTACTATCCCCTAAACCTCTTGAATTTAAAGATCAGGTATTATTACATCTAGAGAAAAAAGTCTGAGAGTTATCTCTTAGACAATAAGATGTTCTATGGGAAAAATGACCCTTAATATCAGTTTCCAAAAACAAATTACTAAGATGAGCCCAGGCATAGAATTTCCAAAGATGCTTAAGAACCTGAACTTCAATTTTTTTGTTTATGTTTAAAACAATCTGGAAGTAAGTATCCTTGAAGTATATTTTAAAATTGTATTGAATAACCTAAATGGGTTTTAAAGTTAATCCAAAAAATTATTCCTAATTTTAATTTTAATGAACCCATCTTTATAACCCAGCAGATATTGTAGATTATAATATAATTTAATAGCCAGATAATGTAAGTCCTAACTGAATCCCAGGAAATCTGCCCCTGGTGCCATTTCTTTTCTTTTTTTAATCGTCTTATTAGGGGCTCATACAACTCTTATCACAATCCATACATACTTCAATTGTGTAAAACACATTTGTACATTCATTGCCCTCATCATTCTCAAAACATTTGCTCTCCACTTAAGACCCCAGCATCAGGTCCTCATTTTTCCCCTCCCTCCCCGCTCCCTCATGAACCCTTGATAATCTATAAATTATTATTTTGTCATATCTTGCCCTGTCTGATGTCGCCCTTGACCCACTTATCTATTGTCCATTCCTCAGGGAGGAGGTCACATATAGATCCTTGTACTCGGTTCCCTCTTTCCAACTCACTCTCCCTCTACGCGCCCAGTATCGCCACTCACACCACTGGTCCTGAAGGGATCATCCGCCCTGGATTCCCTGTTTCCAGTTCCTATCTGTACCAGTGTACATCCTCTGGTCTAGCCAGACTTGCAAGGTAGGATTCGGATCAGGATGGTGGGGAGAGGAAGCATTTAGGAACCAGAGGAAAGGTGTATTTTTCATCGTTGCTACATCGCACCCTGACTGGCTCATCTCCTCCCCGAGACCCCTCTGCAAGGGTATCTCCAGCGGCCTACAAATGGGCTTTGGGTCTCCACTCCACACTCCCCCACTCATTCACAATGATATGATTTTTTGTTCTTGTGATGCCTGATACCTGATCCTATTGACACCTCATGATCGCACAGGCTGGTGCGCTTCTTCCATGTGGGCTTTGTTGCTTCTGAGCTTGATGGCCGCTTGTTTACCTTCAAGCTTTTAAGACTGCAGATGCTATATCTTTTGATAGCTGCCGGGTGCCATTTCCAAAGAAGAGATCTAACCCTGAGAGGATCTGATCCCATCTCGTCCTGCTCCTTAAAATGTTTCTGAAAGGCCCAGCCCAGCCCAGAGGCCACCCTAATTTGTCATGGATTGGAGTATGCCCGGCAATAAGATGCGTTGTAAACCCTAACAAGCACAGACTCCTGACATTCACCAAAAGTCATATGCAAGAAAATATGGATTCTTAATAAAGTTAAAATCTGTTCTCAGTAAAAAATGGCAATACATCCAGGTTTAGCAGGTGATCTGTGGAATAGAAGTCAGTGATCAATCCTTTATGACTGTTTAGCTCAGAATTCATTTCTACAAAGAGTATAGGGTGTTAACACGTCTGTAGGGTAAATGGGAACACATTTATCAGTGTATTCTCAGTTTCCCTGAACTGTTTCTGAATGACATATGTGGTATGAGAAGAGGGGTTTCAAACAGTTGATAGGAAAATTTTAAGATCTTTCCCTTCCAGTTTTCCATAAAATTTGAAAATGTCAGTGGTTCAAATCCAGCAGCTTCTTCATGGAAAATAGGTGTGCTGATCTGCTTTGGTAAAGAATGCAGTCCTGGAAACCTTACAGGAGAGTTCTCCTGTGAACTAGAGGTTCACTAGTGTAGGAACAGACCCCCAGCAGCAGTGGTGGGGTAGCGAGGCAAGAATGCTGCTGAGCAAAGAAGGCTGCTAACTTAACTAAGTCACTGCCAGTGAGTGAGTTCTGACTCATAGAGACCTTACAGGACAGGATAGAACTGTCCCCGGGAGTTGGGGGGTGGGAGGGGTTCCAAGAATGTAACTTCATGGGAGTAGAAAGCCTTGGCTTTCTCCCACAGAGCAGCTGGTGGTTTGGAACTGCTGGCCTTGCCGTTAGTAGTCCAGTATGTTGGAAAAGCAAGCCTGTGGCATATTGCATCCAAAGGTAGACAGCAGAGTTAGAATACATACATCACTGAGGAGCGTGCGCCCAGTGGGAAACCATATCGCACAGGAGCCAGGAACTTGCTGGGGGACAGCCTCATCTATACCCGAAAGCCCAGAGACCCTAGAAGGAATGTATCTTGAGGTGACCAGAAGAGTTACAGCTTGGACAGAAGAAATCAGGGGCACCAAGGAGTCAAATGAATGTATACCCAAATCAAACCCGCTGCCATTGAGCCACTTCAGAGGCTGTAAATCATTACAGGAGCTGACAGCCTTATCTCTCTCCTGAGGAGTACCTGGTGGGGTTGAACTTTCAGCTTTGTAGCAGTGAGTCCAATGCTTACCAGACGGTGCCACCAGGGTTCTTGGATGAAATGTACTGTCCCGTGAATACCTTCTCAGTGAATGAGCTGCTGTCAGCTCAAACGGAGGAAATAGAATGGGCGGTGTACTTATAATTTAGCAGCTTTTATATAGTTGGAGTGCGGGGAGGACAAAATGGAAAATATGCATCCAGAGCCTTAAATAATGGAGGATCTCTTTCATGGACAGTTCTCTGGGAGGGAAGGATCTTACACAGATGAAGAGGCTGCTGTTTTTCAGTTTGTCCATAAGAGAGAGAGCAGAAATGAACAGCCACAGAGCACTAGAGAACTTTGCTGGCCTCATTTTCTTTGTCTAGGAAGCAAATTGGAGGAAGCCTACCACCTACCCACTGGAGAAGTAGCTAACCCCTCACTGTAGTTCTCAGGGCTTTGAAACCATTGACTTTCATTCAGCAGCATCTTTAAGGAGCCCTACTGGTAAATCTGGAGTTGCCCTGGTGTCGCAGTGACTACACATTGGCTGTGTGTTGACCTTAAGGTCCACCACAGTTTGAAACCACCAGTCAGTCACTGCGGGAGAAAGCTGAGGCTCTCTACTCTCAACAAAGACTTAGAATCTTGGAGACTTACGGGGCAGGTCTACCCTGTGCTATAGGGTCACGATAGTCAGCATCAACTGGATGGCAGTGCGTTGGGAGCTCTCCTGCAAAATGAGAATTTGAGCCTATCCAACACCTTGGTGCAGTAAAACACCTGGTCATCTGCTCTCATGAAGACGGCAGCTTAGGACTCCCTACGGGGCAGTGACTGGGTGAGAGTCGAGTCAGCATCGGTGGCAGACAGCATGCCATATGCGTTAGTGCCCTTAAGGCCGTCCTTTCAGGGCTTGAGACGTTCTTGGGGTGCTCAGTGGTGTCGGGTAGTCAGTGATTTTGGAGTGCTCTAAGGCCCTTTAAAAAGCACATTTGGGCAGCAGAACCGAGATGACAGTCCCATTCATTGACTTGGGCCTCCCTGACGGGAGGTGGGGCTGGAAGACCATCCCAGGAAGAGCAGCCGTGTTGCTGGCTTTGCTTCATTGGAGCTCTTGGCAGCGAGCCCACCCCTGACACTGTGCCCTTGGGCAGCAGTACCACAGCAGACTTGAAACCAGGCCACACTGGAAAAGAGCCGTTTCCTCACCTTGACACCGAGCAAGACTAGTAGCTGAGCATTTCCCAGAGTCTCATCACAGAACCTTAGAACTGGAACAGCTCCACAGAAAACGCATCCCCCGGGAGAATAGTGCCACGTCCCAGATCCACTTTCACTGTGGAATCAATCATATTGAAGGTTCTCAGACATCCGAATCTTTGGAAGACTTCCTTTTGCTTCCAGTGAATCATTGTGACCCTAAAGTCATGTGATGCAAGACCCCATTTTTTCTGTATATCTTATTAACCTGCCTTGGAGCGCAGTGTGAAAAGCATTGGATTCTAGGAGACAGGTGATGAGGGAGAGGACGGGCAACAGAGGAGAAGGCAGAAACCACCCAAAACACTTTTACCCACCTTGCCAGTGTATGCTAAGAATGATTTGTGTGCCTGGGGCATCCTGTGTCTTTTAGCAGTTTGGTACAGCGTGAGCCCTATGAGATATGCCCTGAAATTCGCGGCTTAATTTTTTAATCACATTGAAGAGTACTTTGGTTTAAATACAGGCAAAGCATCTGATTTAGGAAATATTTCTAAGAAAAGTGCTTTCTTAAAAACACGTTTTAAAAATACATTGGTAGTGACCTCCAGGCTATCTGGCAGCTTGGTGCATGAATCATCTGTATTTTGTATAGTGGTTGTATATAAGTACTTGCTTCAAGAAAGTATTTTTCCTGAGATTGGTATTTACACTAACCAGAATTTTGTTTTGTTCCTTTAAACAAGCCAGTGATAACTTCTGAGCACAATCCCTTTTATTGTCAGGATTAATGAGGCTTCATTGAATGAGAAAGAAAGTAAGGTTTCAGAACCTTACTTCCAGGATTAAAAATATTTAAATAGAAATCTTGTTTATTCCGGAAAGCCTTTCTAGTGAGCCTGCTTTCTCCTGATTCCATCAATACCACCTCCAAGATTCTTTAAATTTCCCGTAAATGTATTCATACGACTTGTCATCCACAGAGGCCAGCAAGCTTGTGATGTCCTACGTCGCAGCTGTTTGTGGGAAAGGCGCGGAAGTTAATCAAGTCAAGGAACAGCTTCTCCAGTCCAACCCCGTCCTGGAAGGTAGGATTTGCTCTGTACAGTAGGTCAGTGTGCCTCGAACGGTAGATGCAATTTTCAGGACACCTGCGTGTCGGCCAGAGGGCAAGAGCAAGGATGAGAAATGGGGCCAAGTTCTACGAGAGCAAGGATGGGAAATGGGGCCAAATTCTACAAGAGCAAGGATGGGAAATGGGGCCACGTTCTACAGAGCAAATAAAGCTGTGTCCTGGGAACCCTTGGCATCCAGTGGTGAAAGGAGGGGACGGCTAATAACTCATGCAAAGGGGGCTTTCCCACGCAGCAGTGCTTTCCCCCTTTCAGTTTGTAGCTGATGCTTTTCACAGTCGGTGTTTGCATTTGATGGCAGGGAAGGGCCTGTAAGTGCAGTGCTGTCTCCTCGCTAGGGTGGAACCTGTGGCTGTGTATATCTATTGTCAGGGAAACCAAGGTCGTACTGGACAAACACTAGGGATTTGGTTTTCTTCAGGACTCCTGGAAGCCACCTAGACTTGACTATGCCCAACTCACCAGTTCTACATTTGGCCATCTGAAAACAAGACCAGAGACAGCCCCCTTAGTGCTTGGGGGATGGCATAAGCCATGAGTATAAGCCATCCTCACATCAGAAACAATAAATCAAGTTCCTGCCCTATTGATAGTGAGTTCAGGCTCTCTATCGGCCATTAACAAACTGTGAGGCCAGAGCCACATTTCTCTGCCTCCACACAGTTGACTTTTGAGCTCGTTAATTATCATCTATAATAACATTGTAATTAAATTATAATTTGCTGTGGGTGCATTCTAGCTCTGCTCACTGGGTGCTGCTTCTCTTCCCAAGTGGTGACAGTGAAAAACAGCTCTCCCAAACCAAGACTCGACGGCCACCAGAGCCCACCAAACCAACCCAAACTAGACCCACTGCCATCAAGTTACTCCTGACTCAACATGGCCTTGTATGACCTTGTATCAAGTTCCCGAAACTGTGTATCTACCTAGGAGCAGACAGCCTCATGTTTCGCTCTCAGAGGAGCTGGTGGGCTTGAGCGTTGTCCCCGTGGTTACCAGCTCAACATCTAACCCACAGGACCACCAGGGTCTTTGCCCAGTGTACCCTTAAGAGTCAGAATCACCCCGGGTGAGACTCACTAGGCTAGGGAAGTAGTTCAGTCCAACTTTCCTTCAAAGTCATAGAAGGTTAATATTTAACACCAACGACAGCAGAGCTCTTGGTGGGGCGTGGGGCACATCCCATTGTGGTAGGCCAGCTCTGTCCCGTTGCTTTTCTTTAACCAGTTGCCCTTAAGTTCGTTCTTACCCTTGTGTGTAGAGTAGCATTGACTTTGGAGAAGTACATTGCCAGGTCTTTCTTCCGGGGGGTCTCAGCAGCAGCAGAAGGCAGTACCTGTCTGCACCACTCTGGACTCCACTGTGTGGGACCCTTAGGGCCAGCTCTCCTTCCTTTTCAAAGAGTCTCAATACTGAACCATCCCTGGGACCCCTGGCCCCTCGCCATGCGTGTTTCCTGATTTAGTAAGGAGAGCGCCGCACACAAAACGGTCCCTCCAGGTAGTGAAGTGATAGTTGTCACGATCCAATTCTGTGAAGCGTGGGCTTCCGGTACTTTACTGCTCCCTGCTCCCCTTGATACCTTAAGTAACAGAGACACGATGGTAGAAAACGCTTCATTTTATGGTTGTTTTCAGTCTTTTGCCTTGGAATATGGGTGCTGGACCTATGCTGCTTCTTGACCTGCCTGTGTTCTAAGGGAAAAGCACCATGGAATATGCAATTTTCACCTTGCTTAGGCCCTGGCTCTTTTATTTGGTGCTGTTTGAAAGTAGGCTCCCATGTAGGAAGTGGAAGCTATTCTCCTGTGGGCAGAGGTTTTCTTTTAAAGGGATTCCTGTACTCCTTTTTCTCTGGAGCTGTGGCTGTAAATGAACATTTTGAACAATGAACTTAAACAAACAGTCGCAGAGGGTGTCTCAAGTGTTCTACAAAGGAAGGCTTGTTTTTGATTCTGTGGCCCACAAGAAATGACATCACACAAGAAAGAGTTGTTGTTTAGTAATATGCAACTCAGAGTTGTTTGATGAAAAGATGGTTTATGGCCCGCAATTGGTACCCTGAGTAAAGTTTTTTTTGAAGCAATTCTTTCAATTGCCCCTGACCTTCAAGCCACAATAAGCTGCCCTTTATGCACCGCTTCTCAAATTAGCTAACTTGGCAGCCATATATGTTCACACCCACCACAAAGTACTAGCCTGTGAAAACACGGAAAACGCACGGTTTTCTTGACAGCAAGGCAAACCCTCACCATTGTCAAGGTTGCACCTATTCCAGCCTTTTAGCTGATGGTGGACACAGGAGTCCATGAGTGATGGAGATGGTTAACATGCTTGGCTGCTACCTGAAAGGTGGGAGGTTCAAATACCTCCAGAGGCCCCCCAGAAGAAAGGCCTGGTGATATATGTTGGTGGGGGCTGGGGTAGGGGTGTAAATCAATCAGCCATTGAAAAACCCTTAGGAGCGTAATTTCCTCCAAGACACATGGTTTCCACCAGTCAGAATCAATTTGCAAGAAATGGTTATATTTTAGTTTATTGATTTAATCATATACTACCATGGCCCAGATTCATTGGCTCTTCCTTTGACCACAGGCTTGGTGAACAATTCTTTTGCCTTACAATTCTAGGATGTTACCTGTGTTCAAGTGCCCCAGTGTGCTCCTGGGGCCAGTGCCAAGCACGTGGTTCTTCTGCAGGTTGAACATGAGCCCCGTGGGAGAGGCCTTCTGAAAGCTGTTGAGATTAGAACAAACTTGGATTTTTCTGTGTGTGCCTATTTGCTTTCCTGTATTTCCTGGAACATTTCACTTAGGTATTCAAGGACATAAAATAATGAATCTATGGCGCATTTTAGCAAATTAGAATAGTTTCCAAATCTCTTATGCTTTCTCTGTTTCAGAGTTACACTTACACTGTTACATTTATTTTGTAGACTAACAAAGTAAGGTTTATTTTTTAGTAGTTATTGGCATATACCTCACAAATCATACATTTTAATCATTCACTCATATTAAGAAGGTTAATCATCACTACAATTTCAGAACATTTTCTTCTCTTGTTGTTAGTACAATTACATTTAAATTGCCTTGTTTTAAAATTAATTAAATATTTTAAAACGGGTTTTTTTTTGCCTGTCTTTTTTTTTACATAATCTGGAAATGTCACCAAGTTCTATACATTTTTCTGGTAATATTTTGTAGTCTCTGAAATAATCTTATCCATTAATGATAATGTTGGAAGAGTTCAGAAGCCTTGCTTACTGACTTGCAAATTGACTGCTGTCAAGAAAGAGCTCAAAGGTTTTGAATTTAACAAGACTTATGTTTACAGTAAAACACAAAAAATTCCATGACTCATAGGAATGACACGTTCTTTTTTTATCAACTTATAAGAACTGAAGCTCTAACAACTTAGGAGAGACTTCTGCGTGAGTATATTTCCATGGAAGTTTTGCACAGAAATGCCATTGGTACAAGTTGTATTTTCCAGGGTTTATAGATGTGACGTATCATTCTATTTACTGTCTTTTCTGCTGGAAATTATTTTTTCAGTTAATTTTAATCATGCATCTGGTTTTTCGCTTTTCTTTCTTACTAGCTTTTGGAAATGCTAAAACTGTAAGGAATGACAACTCGTCTAGATTTGTAAGTATTTTTATAAGCTTTAAGTGCTAACTCTAACATTTAGCCCATGTATGTTTAAACGACAGATGATGCTTAACCTTTCTCAATACATACAATTTAAAAAGAACTCAATCACTATTGAAACACTGAAAGTATTTCAAGGATGATTTTTTCCCTTTTTGGGATTTTCCTTTTGAAGTCGTCTTGGACTGACAGGCCATTTTCTTTCCTCATTAACCATAGAACCCCATGGACCACTGTAACATGTGATCCTTAATTGCTGTTGCGTTCATTCCAACTTACACCTCAGAATTTTGTTATTTAGGAAATGCAATTCAGAAGTTACTTCATTAGGTAAAAGGGCTGCACATTGAGTGTCAAATTTGGGACTCAGTGGAATTAGGAAGGAGGTGGATGGTAAAACTATGGATCTGTAGACTCGGCACCTACTGGGTGGTGCCGGTTTGGGAATAGTGAAAAAGGAAGCTCATGGATGTGTTAAGCGTGGCTGAGTTGGACACTGCTCAGGCCACTAAGAGAAACTGGCCCAACCTTCCAGCCTCCTGTGACATCTCCGGCACACCTCCCTGAACATCTACTCCACTGCAGGATATGCCAGGTGCTTTCAAGACCCTGATTGTAATGACACATGCACTTGCCAGGAAGTCGCTCCGGGCAACGTGTTGAGTGTGTGGTGATGCTTCAGAATCTATAGTTCAACCAGCTTTATAAATGTTTATATTAAAAAAAGTTACTTTTTATAAGCAGTGTTCTCCCCTCACACAACAGGCGTGTCTTGTGACCCAGGGACCGTGTCCATGAAAGGAGCCCTTGTAGTGCAGTGGCTTACGCATTGGGCTGTAACCACAGAGTTAGCCCTTCGAATCCTACAGCTGCTCTGCAGGAGAGAGATGAGGCTTCTACTCCCCTACCGTGTGAGGGTCTCTGTGAGGCTGAATGAGTGGCAGTGAGCTTTCAGACTGGGAGGGAGAATGCACTTTCCGACCTTTCTCTCCCTCCACTTCAGCTCTTCTCAACCTGTGGGTCGCGACCCCTTTGGGGCTCAAACAACCCTTTCACAGGGGTTGCCCAATTCAGAACAGTAGCAAAATTACAGTGATGAAGTAGCAATGAAAATAATGTCATGGGTGGGGGTCACCATCACATGAGGAACTGTATGAAAGGGTCGGGGCCTGAGGAAGGCTGAGAACCACTGCTCCACTTAGTTTGTCTGACTTGTTCTTCATGAGGGTAACCTGGTGCTGAGGCAGGAAAATGACCTCAAGTGGAGGTAGTTTTGATCATTTAGAAAGCCAAAGGCTAAAGTTCCTAATTCTAAGACTGAATTTTTTCCATCGTATTGGCCCCTAAAGTCATCAAAACGTCTTTGATCCATGCTGTTTCCTGTTGTGGTCACCTGGCTAATCTCACTATGTCAATAGAAGTAGGAGCCAAGTGTGGGCAGAGAAGTCATTTCACACTGCAAGGGTCATTATGTGATAGAAATCTTATTTTATCTGTTTTCAAATGATACACATAGACATCTACTTTTTTTTTCCCCGTTTTCAAATGTATTTGGTAAATAGACCATGAAGATGCAGAAAACCACTTAATGGGTCATTACGACTTCTTAATATTTAATATGTACTGAAAAGCTTGGCAGGTGCTTTAGCTTATTAAGCAACTCAAGAAAAATCCCATTATACCATGGGTATTGGAGTATGAGATTATTATCTGATTATAGTCTAACTCATTTCATACTTAGTTTTTAATAATTTTTCTGCCTTGTTGTTTGTAACTTGACCAAAAATATGACTTGGCCAAATCCATGTTTTAATTTTATAGCAGGACCCTACTGTATTTAAAGCTACTCCTGTGTCTAATAGTAGTCTATGCACTATACATTTACTCTCCAGGGAAAAGGTGATTTCAACTCTGTTTGACTGGTTAAAACCCATAATAGATTTCTTGATACCTTCCTCCCCCCACACCCCCCACACACAGCTGGAAAATCTGAGCGATACTGCTATATTATAGTTATAAATAGTCACTATAACTGGTGCTTTTGACCAGACTTCTGAAGTAGGTGTCCCATAGCTCTGCCAAATGCCCCCCACCTCCAGCTGCGCTGGCTTGACTTGTTTTACATAATGAGCTTTCTATTAAGAAAAGGGAACCCAATACTTTCAAAAACCGATGTGAAGTTTGAAAAATGCCTGCTCTCAACCAAGGCTCTCTGAGGGAGAGGTCTGTGTTAGACTTCTACCTACTGGGTGTAGAGAGAGAGCCTATAGCATTAGGGAAACTTTATTACTAGCTTCTTTTGTTAGGATTAAACACACACACACACACACAGAATTTGTTCAGTTGTTTGACATCTGTGTTTGAGTGTCCACCTGCTCTCCCTACTTTCTTCCCCTCTTAAGACCTGCAGTCCTTTCTCTACCAGCAGCTGGAATGATGGTTGCCAACCTCAGTCCCAACACTGCCCTGCTAAAGCCTTTGTGCCTCTTCCTTGCACCTGGGATATAATATTATCCATGCTTCTTCCTTACTCGAGCCTCTCCTAGGCCCTGATTCAGCTCTCCTGGCCCTTGGCCCTTGCTCATTGAGTTTCTACCCCAGAGACCTTTGTGACATTAGGCATTGCAAGCCTCAGCCTTTTGCAGTTCTGTAAAGGTCACTTCTGGGACGCCTTTCCTGGGCCACTCTGTAACTTCATCGGATTTTTACTTTCTTCAGACACTAGCCATCTCTGAAATGTTTGTGTTCCTGTCTCTTGTCTAAGTGTTGGCTGGCCCTCTGGAGTAGGAGCCATAGAAATGGGTTCCAGTGCCTCCTGGTGCACTGTGTTAGCCGATGGGCTGGAATGGTGCCGGCACCATAGACCACATGCAGAAAATGTGTATTGATGAACGGATATCTGTTTTCAATTAGCTTGTAGAGGAGAGAGGAAATTGGACATGTTTAAAAATAATTATCACATGCATCAGCCTGTGTGACCCCCCAAATGACAATGACAAAATCCAAATAGGACGCAGGGGAAAGGATCTGAGCTTGAATTGTGAACATCCTGTTAGTGGAAGGCTGTGGAGGACCAATGGCAGCCCCGTATCCATCTGCAGAGGATCTCCACAGGCGAAGCCTCTGGCAGGTCCCCTCTAGCCACAGAAAAGAGACGCTGCAGGGAGTCTGGCGCAGGGACCAGTTCGGCGTGGACCCATAAGAGGTGCCAAAATTGAGCAGGAGGAGTTAGCCTTACAGCCTCTTGAAGCCTGGGGACAGAAACCAGAGTGAGTGCCTGGTGTTTGCCGGAGTTAATGACTGGCGCCGAGGGGGTGTGGGAATAGAACTGCGACCAGAGGGTTGGAAGGATGAGTCAAAGCCACACAACTCAGAGGACCGAGAGTATCAGGTTCAGATTTTATTCTGGAAGCACTGGGAAGTGGCTGGTTATTTCTGAGTAGACTAAGACGTGATCACATGTGGCTGAACAGGAAACAAGAGCATCCCGAGTGCCGCCCAGCTGTCTAACAGTTTGTTTATCCCAGTCGGCTTCCTTTTCTATTCTCTGCCGGGTTCATTCTATGCTCTTCAAAGCTCCTATTCTTTCTCCTCTGCCGTCTATGCTACAACCTACATCACAGACATAACAAACTGCAGCAACAACACAGGCTCGTCGGCAGAATGAACTCTGCTTCCGGGGCCCTCACCTGGGCATGCACTTGGGTACATACCCTCCTGTCACACCGGAGGATCCATCCTGATTCACATGAATCCCTTCACTTGTGCTCACCACCCTGTCACCTCCTCTGCCCAGGAACTAACTGCCTTTTATCTGAAGTATCCCCTTTCCAAGATGGTCACGAGCCTGTATGGTGTAATGGTTACCCAAAGTCAACAAGTTCAAAACCACTACTAACCGCTCCATAGGAGAAAGACAGGGCTTTCTACTTCTGCAGTTACAGTCTCGGAAACTCACAGGGACAGTTCTACCCTGTCTTCTAGAGTCCCTGTGAGTCAACATCAACTCCATAGCAGTGAGTTTGATTTTTTGTTTCCAGTATGGTCAGCTACTCATTACCATTTCTCCCCCTTTCAGACCTGCTCTCAGCCTGTGTCTCCATCATGGTGAAGGGCATCCATCACCTAGTTGCCCAGGTCATCATCCTGGACTGTTTGCTCTTGGCTCTCTCTTCCCCAACATGTTTAACCAGGCCCTGTCTTGGGATTCTCTGGGCTGCTCTCACATCTCCTTATTTCTCTCTCTAGCTACTTTTAGCCCTAGTGGTGGAATGGTTAAGTGCTTGGCTCCTCACTGACAGGTCTCCGGTTCAAATCTACCGGGCATTCTGATGGAGAGAGATCAGCTCCCATAAACAATGCTAGAAAACCCGAATCGGGGAGGAACACATCTACTCACAGGGTTGATCAGCACCCACCAGCGATAACAAGTAAACCCACCATCATTTCTCCCTTGATTAGCATGGCCACCTCCCAATTGGTGCACATGGTCTTACCCCTTTCAGTCCATTCTCTAGTCTTATGCCCAGAGTGCTCTTGTAAACAGGGGGGGCTGATCATGGCAACCTTGTTTAGGAATCTGTGTAGCATCCCATTGCTCTCAGGGGCTGCCACACCATCATGCTGTGCTTCAGCTTCTCTGTCCAGCCTTATCACCCCACTCACCATCTTTATAGATGCCGATTCTTGATGCCTTCTCCTCCCCCTCCCCTACCTCTTCTCCTGGCTAACGTCCTGGCACTTGATGTTTAAGTTGGAGTGGACTTCCTCAAGGAAATCTCCCCTGTTCCCTCGTGGCTCTCTCTTCTTGTGCTCCTATGGCAGGCACCATGGCTCACTGCGGCCAAAGAAAGGCTCACGGGCCCTTTGGGCCATAATGCCTCTTTGCTCCGCGGCCCTGCAAACCCAGGTGGTGCTGGGCTGACATTTGTTGAATGTGCACGCGATGACTTCCAAGGGCATCTGGCACCTTCCGATGCGAAGGGAAGATGCGTGCACCAATAGAAAGTCATAAATTGCCTTGTCCCATCATCATGTGATCACGTTTCTTCTCCCTTAAGCCTTAGTTTGAAAATTGGAATCAACAGTATGCTTAGGGAGAATAATTTACAGCCCTGCTATCTGACTGTTACCTAAGGTAGGGCTTGAAGCAAAACCACAGACTTCACTTATTAGTAATTACACCAACAACTCTTTTGCAAACAAGAAACAGCTGTTGGGATTACGTGTTGCTCTTTCAGTAGGCACGAGACCAAGTCTTTTAAAATCCCAGTTTGCAGCTCCATGTGTGTTTCCTAGTGTTTAACACACCATCTGCAAAGGGTAACCTGAAGCTGGATTACGTATTGCTGTACAATCTGAGTCCAAAGCTAGTGAGAATAAGAGGCACCAGTCTTTGATTCTGTGTTGGACCACCACATAAAACATGTGCTGGCTCAAAACAGAATGCTGAATCTTCTGTTCCATTCATGGTTCAGTCTGTTTGGGGCTCTGAGCCATGGTTTAAAACACAGTTTACCTATTCGACAGAAATAGTTTTAGCCAATGCATACACAAGGATCACATCTGATTTCTCCGTTCAGTGCTTTTGAATACATCCTTCACAGTTTAAAACACCTATCAGAAATGGAAAATTATCTGATGGTTGAGATCTAGTCTTGCACACGAGCAAGGATCTATGAGCTTGGAGCTAATGGCTCACTTAATATGCATTATCCTCTGATAGATATTTACATATTGTCCATGGCTGCATAGCTAGGCCATTCTTACTTACAGTGAAATGAATGCTATTCTCAAGAGGACAATGCTGCCTGACAAAACATTTTTTTCCCTTGATGAATATGAAAACTTAACTAGTCTTTTTTTGGCAGGGAAAATACATGGATATTGAATTTGACTTTAAAGGTGACCCACTGGGAGGAGTGATAAGTAACTGTGAGTATTTTACTTTGATCCTTTTATCCTATAATGTAATTCAGAGTGTTTCTTAGAAGATGGCCTACATTTTTTACTCTTGAAAAACAGAGGTCTGACTAAAGAAATAAGTAGAGGTCCAACTATATTTTATAATCTATGTCTTTAAAAGCTGATCCAGTTATAAAAAGGTCCTCCAAGGGGTACTTCCCGTTAATGAAATGTGGTGTTGAAAAATAAAATACAAGGAGTTGGTTTTCCTTGAGTAACTTTTGGGCCCACACTCATGAGATAGAAAGATTGACCCAGGACTTCCCTTTGGAGAAGGACTGTTTCCCTCCCGTGTGTTCAGATCCCTGAAAGGTGATCCGGTGTTCAGATCCCTGAAAGGTGATCCGGTGTTCAGATCCCTGAAAGGTGATCCGGTGTGTCAGCTAGAAACGCAGGTTCATTCGCTTCCTGTGGTCACGATTTGTGACTGTAGATGGGAAAGAGTCTCTGCCGAAGTTGGACAGAAGACACGAATCCAGGTGAGGGGTGTGCAACTCTTCTAAAGCCAGGTTGCCCGAAAGCAGGCTCCGGGCTGAGCTACAGTCTCTGTTACAAGCACGGCGCTGCCCTCAGTGCTGGGCCGCAGTTCTCACACCACCCCGGATGACTCTGCTCGTAACCTTAGGGCCCATTAGTTTGGAAAGTCTGGCGAATGGGGGTTTGTGCAATTCCTAATGTGGCTGAGTCCTCCTGTGTCTTAAGGGTCACAGTCCCGAGCCGCTCGCTGCCCCAACCTCCTCCTCTTCCTAGGACGATTCCTAGGTTAGAGAAGAAAAGGTCTAGTTAGGACTTGGAAAAGATAGGACATAGTTGAAAAAATGGTCCAATTCAAAAAAAAAAAAAAAAAGGTCCAATTCAGTGCTTATGGACTGGTTAAAGCAGTGGCCTGCCATCTTCCAAGGAGATTTGATGCCAAATCTCCAAAGATAAGGCCGGTCAAAGGAGACCTGATCTACCTGAAGAGGAGATGGGGGGGGCCCAGAACCCCTGTGCCCGCAGGCGGCCCTTGCCATGTTCATGAGGAGCCCTCTGCCTGGAGGAATGTAATTTATAAATCAGTATTTTAAGTAGCTGGGGCAAACTGTGTAGCTGATTTCTTTGGGGTAAAGCCTTTTATGCTAACCTTCTAGGTTAGAGATTCATACACAGAGTAACCTTCTAGGGTTAGAGTGGTTCTCGTCTTCAAAACAGTGGGGTTAAATTGGATGAATTCTGTGCCTCCTCTCACTTCCAGCATTCTGTGGTTTTTCAAAATAACTTCATTTTCCATTTCATTTTGCCTGACTACACGCTTTTTGTGCCACCATTGGATCTGCTTTGTAAAAATATGTAATTATCAGAGAAGCGTCTTGAAGGGAATGTTGGAGGAGTTGGAAGAGGGCAATACATTGGGTAGAACCGCCCAGCTTAGGGCACATGGATTTCAAAATGTCAAACATGGAAGCCCGAGTCTTTGTGCAAACCATGTGTGAGGTGACCAAAAGCAAACAATGGGTGGAGCTTGCCAGACGTGTGGGCTGGCTCCTTTCAAGTCTGCGGAAGCTGATGAGAGCTGCAGAGGAAGAGCTAGGCATTTCAAGTGGTGGAGGGTAAGTTTGCCATTGTGCTTTAGAGTAGCATCTATAGCTAACCACCCCAGAACAACTCAGTCAGCATTATTCTTGAGGACACCAGAAAACTAAAGCGCCGGTGTACTGGGGGATACGCAGCAGGCTGCTAACTGCAAAGTCGGACACTCAAAGCCCGGCACTGCTCTGTGCGAGAACGATAAGGCTGCCTGCTTCCTTAAAGATCCATCGCCTCAGAAACCCTATGTGGGGTCACTGGGTCGTCATGCACCAATGGCTGTGGGCTCGGTCGTCTTACAAGTACTAGACAACAACTTAGGCTTTAATTTTTGGAGTTTAAATTCTCCACACAAATGTCTCCCTGCCCCCTACTTCTTGCAGTCTCCATGGAGAACAAATATTCCACATGGAAATCTTTCTCCAATTGAGATGAATACATCTTCATGAATGGAGTTCTCGTGGTGTGTTTTAACATTTGTTCCCAAATGGAATTACATTGAAATGTGTGGTCGTGACAACACTCTGGGATTTCACGGTATCCTTCGCTTGGAGAGGAAAGGAAGACATTAGTGGTACGAGCGGAAATTTCATCCTGCGCAAGCTGACTCATAGGTGGTCCCCGGGAGCTGCTGCCTGCTGGCTGAGGGGCACGTTCAGCAATGAGTAACCCCACTCTTGTTCTCTAAAAGCTGCTTACAGAACAAAAAAAGTTTCTGATCATGTAGGAGAAAAAAGAACCTAGGGAAATCCATGCATTGGGATTATTTGTAAAAATATCTAGTTATTAGAGAGAAGTCTTTTTTTTTTTTTTTTAAACATTTTATTAGGGGCTCATACAACTGTTATCCCAATCCATACACACATCAATTGTGTAAAGCGCATTTGTACATCGTTTCTC